TGTGTGTGTGTGTGTGTGTGTGTCTGTGTGTATTTTTTGCCATGTGGCCAAGCTAGTCTCAAATTCCTGGGTTGAAGCCATCTGCCCACCTCGGCCTCCCAAAGTGCTGGGATTATATAGGCAAGAGTCACCTGGCCTGGCCCATTAACTGAGTTTTGTGTGTTAAGTCAACCTTGTATTCCTGGAACAAATACCACTAGGCTACGGCGTATAATTCTTTTCTATGTTGCTAGATTCAGTTTGCTAGTACTTTGTTGAGGATTTTTGCATCTATATTAATAAGAACTACAGGTCTGTAGTTTTCTCGTGATGCCTTTGTCTGGTTTTGGTATCAAGATAACATTGACCTCATAGTGTGAATTGGAAAGTGTTCCCTTCTCTTTTCTTTTTTTAAAAAGTTTGTGTTAATTCTCAAAACTTGGTAAAGTTCACCAGCAAAATCGTCTGAGTTTAAGCTTGTTTTTGTGGGAATATTTTTTTTTTATTACTAATTCCATCTCTTTGTTATAGGTCTATCCAGATGTTCTAGTTCTTCTTGTTCTTTTTTTTTTTTTTTTTTTTTGAGACGGAGTCTTGCATTGTTGCCCAGGCTGGAGTGCAGTGGTGCAATCTCGGCTCACTGCAAGCTCCAACTCCCAGGTTCAAGCAATTCTTCTGCCTCAGCCTCCCGACTGGCTGGGACTACAGACCTGTGCCACTATGCCTGTAAATTGTTGTATTTTTAGTAGAGATGGGGTTTCACCATGTTGGCCAGGCTGGTCTCAAACTCCTGATCTCAAGTGATCTGCCCACCTCAACCTCCCAAAGTGCTGGGATTACAGGTGTGAGCCATTGTGCCTGGCCTCTGTTCCTTCTTGAGTCAGTTTTGGTAGCTTGTGTGTTTCTAGGAAGTTGTCTATTTCATCTAGGTTATCTAACGTTTTGGTAAACCATTATCCATAGTATTTCCTTATAGTACTTTTTTTCTGTCTCTCGCACGCACACACACACATATACAGTTTTTCTCTCTCACATGCACGCGCACACACACACACACACACACACACACAGTTTTTCTCTTTTTTGGTCAGCCTAGCTAAAGGTTGTCAATTTTGCTAATCTTTCTTTTCTTTCCTTCTTTCTTAAAAAAAAAAATTGGTTTTTTTCCTAATAGAGACAAGATCTCACTATGTTGTCCAGGTTGGTCTTGAACTCCTGGACTCAAATGATCCTTCTGCCTCCAGCCTCCCAAAGTTCTGAGATTACAGGTGTGAGTCACCATGCCCAGCCTACTCTTTTCAAATAACCAACTTTTAGGTTTTTAAAAATTGTTTTTCTATTCTCCATTCATCTCTAGCCTAATCTTTATTGCTTCCTTGTTTCTGCTAGCTTTTGGTTTAGTTTACTCTTCGTTTCTAGTTTCTTAAAGTGGAAGTTTATGTTACTGACTTGAGATTTTCTTTTTTTTTTTTTTTTTGAGACCGAGTCTCACCCTGTCGCCCAGGCTGGAGTGCAGTGGCCGGATCTCAGCTCACTGCAAGCTCCACCTCCCGGGTTTACACCATTCTCCTGCCTCAGCCTCCCGAGTAGCTGGGACTACAGGCGCCCGCCACTTCACCCGGCTAGTTTTTTGTATTTTTAGTAGAGACGGGGTTTCACCGTGTTAGCCAGGATGGTCTCGATCTCCTAACCTTGTGATCCACCCGTCTCGGCCTTGCAAAGTGCTGGGATTACAGGCTTGAGCCACCGCGCCCGGCCAAGATTTTATTTTTTAATACAGGCGTTTGCAGTCAAAATTTCCTTGGAAGTTCTGCTTTTGCTGTATCCCGTACGCGCCTGTGTTTTTGTTCTCATCACCTCAGAGGGTTTTCTATTTTTTCTTGTCCCATTTTCTTTGACCCATTTGTTATTTAGAAGCAGGTTGGTTAATTTTCACATATTTGTGAATCTCCTAATTTCCTTTTCATTATTATTATTATTTTTTTAAAAAACAGAGTCTCACTCTGTCTCCCAGGCTGGAGTGCATTGGCCCGATCTTGGCTCACTGCAAGCTCCGCCTCCCGGGTTCACGCCATTCTCCTGCCTCAGCCTTCCAAGTAGCTGGGACTACAGGCGCCGCCACCACGCCCGGCTAATTTTTTTGTATTTTTAGTAGAGACGGGGTTTCACTGTGTTAGCCAGGATGGTCTCGATCTCCTGACCTCGTGATCAGCCCGCCTCAGCCTCCCAAAGTGGCTGGGATTACAGGCGTGAGCCACCGCGCCCAGTTTTGTTTTTTTTTTTAGACCGAGTTTCACTCTTATCACCCAGGCTGGAGTGCAATGGTGCAATCTTGGCTCACCGCAACCCCCATCTCCTGGGTTTAAGTGATTCTTGTGCCTCAGCCTCCTGAGTAGCTGGGATTACAGATGCCTGGCTAATTTTTGTATTTTTAGTAGAGACAGGGTTTCACCATGCTTGGCCAGGCTGGTCTCAAACTGCTGACCTCAGATGATACGATCACCTCCGCCTCCCAAAGTGCTGGGATTACAGGAATGAGCCACTGCACCCGGCCAGTTCTTCTTTAAATGTTTGGTAGAATTTACCCCTGAAGCCATCAGGCTGAAGACTTTCCCTTGTCAGGAGGTTTTTGATTACTGACAAGGCTGGAGTGCAGTGGCACCATCACAGCTCACTGGAGCCTCAACTTCATGGGCTGAAGCCATCCTCCTGCCTCAGCCTTCTGAGTAGCTAGGATTTCATGTACACACCACTGTGCCTAATTATCAATTTTTTTTTTGTAAAGATAGGGTCTTGCTAAATTGCCCAGGTTGTGTTCAGGTGATCCTTCCATCTCAGCCTTGCAAAGTGCTGGGATTATAAGCATGAACCACCATGCCTAGCCTCTTTAATTATTATTTTATTATTTTAAAAATTTTTTGTGGGTACATAGGTATATTTAGGGGGTACCTGGGATGTTTTGATACAGGCGTGTAGTGTGACAGGCACACATCACAGAGAATGGGTGTCCCCCTCTCAAGTATTTATACTCATTTTAGTACTATTATTATTTATTATTATTATTATTTTTTTGAGACAGAGTCTCGCTCTGTCGCCCAGGCTGGAGTGCAGTGGCATGATCTCGGCTCACTGCAAGCTCCGCCTCCCGGGTTTACGCCATTCTCCTGCCTCAGCCTCCCGAGTAGCTGGGACTACAGGCGCCCGCCACCTCACCCGGCTAATTTTTTGTATTTTTAGTAGAGACGGGGTTTCACCGTGTTTGCCAGGATGGTCTCGATCTCCTGACCTTGTGATCTACCCGCCTCAGCCTCCCAAAGTGCTAGGATTACAGGCGTGAACCATCGCTCCCGGCCTATTTTAGTATTATTTTTAAGCTGCTCCACACAGAACAGGGCTATCCCACAGGCAGCGTGGTCCAGAGTAGCCTTGTTTTTTAATGTAAAGTTTCCGACTATAAATAACTCCATTAGCAAAACGGCATCTCCTAAATTTTAAGTGCTCACCCTTGTCCGTGCTGTCCCTCTGCAGCTGAAGCCAACTGGGTCCAGCAGGGACTTGGGCCTGGGACAGCCAGTCTCTTCCCAGAACATGAGTCTGGGACTGGCCCTGCCTGGGAATGGTTATCTGAATCAAAGTGGAAAACTGCTAGTTTGAAACGTCTATAAACATAACCCAACAATACAAAAGGGAGTAGCGTGACTGATCGTTTAGGAGAAAAGACTCAGGACCTCGTGGACCTGAACTTAGACCAAAAAAAAAAAAAAGGAGAGGAAACACGAAGCACGGTGACCTCCCGGACTGGGCACTGCGCAACCTTCGAGTGTGGCTTAAACATGAACGACCATCTCCTTTCAGGTAGACAGCAATAACATGCTTTAGGTTTTAAGACTAGTGTTGACGGAGTTGAGGTAAAACGGATACAACATTATTTTCTCAGAGGAGCTGCAAGCTGGACTCTTGGAAAGCACGTGTCCACCAAGATTTGCTAGAGCCTCATGCCCTGGAAAAACCCACTCGGAGCACTTTGTCCCTAGACACCCTTTCTGGTGGCGCGAACGCACTCTAGTCCACGTTCCCCACACTCCAAGGACACCGGGTCCGTGTGGCACAGGCTTGGGAGGGAGGGAGGGCCAGGAGGTCAGAGGAAGAGGAGTGTGCAACACCCAAACCCCGCATCCAGGGGAGCCGGCGTGCGGGACCCGAGGCCATGCGGCCAGACGCCCACCACAGACACAGCGGATACCTTCTCTTGGGGCATCCACAATTCTGCAGCAACTTTCAAAAATTCGCTATTTTCTCGCTTCTGTTGAAATGCAGGTTTTGGACTTGCTGAAATTCACCCCTGACACTTGTTCTGAGCCCCAGAATTCCTCTCCCAGCCCAGAGCCCACAGTGGACAAAGCCAGGCGTCTGGGCTTTTGGCAGTCCCAGGCCCTGAGGACCCAATCATGATTAACCTCAAGTCTCCTTGGGGTGCCTTCTACTCCAGGCTGAGCATGAACAAAAGAGACAGAAACCAGCCAACTCCACGCGGGTTATGTGGGGCCTCCCCTCTGCCCTCCACACACCCATGCACAAGTGCACACACCCACGCATGCACACTGCCACGCACATACCCACTGATGCACACAGACACACACATGGGTAGATACTCACCTATATGCACGTACACACCCGCTCTCCATGTATCCACTCAGCCTTGTGTACACAGCCATGCACACCCACCCTCATACACACCCACGTGCACCTGGCTCCACACAACACACGAGAAGGCAAACATGACGCTCAGGAAGGCGGCCTCTCAGGGCAGCGTCCAGTGTCCGTCTCTCCCGGCAGGACCCCCACATGCCACCCCTGCTGGAGGCTTTGGCTTCCAAAGAAGAATCTAGTAGGTTCAAGGCTGGGTGGGCAGGACGGCAAGGATACAGCCCTGCCTGGGACAGAGCCTTCCTGGGGGAGGAGGCGGCACGGTAGGGACCCGAGGAGAGCTGGGCTGGTGGGTGATTAAGACAGGAGCCATGTGGAGTAAGAACAAAGCCTTTACTCGCGCTTGGCAACAGCAAAGCAGGAGGCAGAGGGGAGATGACGGTCCCTGGCCCGTTTCCCTCCAGGGAAGGCAGCAGGCGGGGAGGTGGGTCTGCTGGGATGGGCGGGTCAGGGGCAGTCTCACCCCAGGGGGCCCCAAACAAAAGGCTCCTGCTGTTGATGGGCCCAGGCACAGTGGGGCAGGAGCATGACCCAGGAAGGAGTCCTGAGCCACAAGTCAGAGCAGAGAAAACACCTCTGTGGTCCCAGTCAAGAGGCCTCCGAATGAGGCACCTGGGCTGGGAGCAAAGCTCTGGCTGAGAGCATGACCTTCCCGGGCCTGAGTCCCCCTGCGGTGCCCGGCTGTGCACCCAGCCTGCAGCAGAGAGGGCAGCATCCCCCACAAAGCCTGCCAGGCTAAGCCCTTGCAATGGCTGTGGCTGGGCCAGGACCTTGATCTGGAGCCTGCTCCTTGGCACCTAGCCAGCCTGGCACCCGCCTTCAGCAACAGGTAATGGAGCCTGGATGGTAGCTCCCTCCCAGGTGCCCAGGTGCTGGGGTGGACGCCTGTTCCCGTGGGATCAACCCTGAGGCTGGGTCAGTGGGAGGGGCACTGCGGCCCCGGCCCTCAGCCCGGCTGTCTTTTTTCTCCCAAAACACCCATCACTGCAGTCCACCAGGGGCTGGGAGAGGGGGGCTGCAGGCTAGCGAGAGGGTGTGCCAGGTGCTTGCATCTCACTGGTATGGCCATGGCACCTGAGGGAGTCCACTGAGGCCATGGGGGGCTCCAGCTCCCTGCACCTGGGACAGAGTGAGGCAGCCCTGGGTCAGGGGTGGTTGGTGTCACCGAGAGATCGGGGCACCCTGCTTCTGCCTGGGACACCAGTCCGTGTCTGGGTAGAGAAGGCAGTGGACAGACTTAAACCTGGGGAAGGAAGAAGTGGGGGTCAGGGCTGTGGGTGGAGGGAGCAGTGGGGGTCAGGGCTCTGTGGTGGGAGAGGGCAGTGGGGGGTCAGGGCTGTGGGTGGAGAGAGGAGCAGTGGGAGTCAGGGCTGTGGGTGGAGGGAGCAGTGGGGGTCAGGGCTGTGGATGGAGGGCAGTGAGGGTCAGGGCTGTGGGTGGAGGGACAGTGGGGTCAGGGCTGCCGGTGGGGCGTGCCTGATGCCAGGCCCTGCCATGGGGCTGAGGCCTGCCCGCACCACTGCCCCTCTTGTCTTAAGGGGGGTCTGCTGCCACGCTGGAAGCCTCGGCCACATTCACCGATTGTGTGGGTTCTCAGGACCCCATAGCTCAAGGTAACCTGGGGAGAGACGGTGTGGGCAGAGAGTGGCCTGGTCTGGTCTCGGGCCACGCTTCCCTGACCAGGAGCCCTGCTACAGCCGCCTTGGCCACCCACTTCTCCCGGGTCTCGGGGAGGCCAGGCTCAAGACAGCATTCAGCAGAGGGTGCCATGAGCTGGGTAAGGGGGACATCTCGGGGCCCGGAGCCTGGGGGACAGAGGCGAGGGGATCTGGAGCCTCCCAGGCACAAAGCCCCAGTCTCATTCCCTCCTGCTCCACGTGATGGGACCTGCTGGGTCCCCATCACCACTGAACCACGCCACTGCCCAGCTGGCGTGGGGCCTCCTAGCCAGAGAAACTGTGCTTCTCCCTCGTCCCTCACCCCAAGACACCACACCTTCTGTACCTGAAGACCCTGTATCAGCAGACCAAGGGCCTTTCAGATCACCCCCTGGCCATGCAAATCCCACCTGCCTGCTCAGCCGGGCATCGGAAGGCCAGGGCAGTACAGGGCCCTGGGAGTCAGGGTGAGGCAAAACCCACGTGGCAGAAGGGCAGTGGCGCCGGTACCTGCTGGAGCCAGAGTGTCTGGCGGTAACCTCTGCACAAGTTCTCCATTCAGGAGTGGAAGAGAGGGCTGTGCAGCAATGGCTTCAGAAGCCCCTCACGATGCCAGCCCACCGTGCAGTGATCCGGCAGCCGCTTTGCCATGCTCCAGCCGTGCTCCTTGAAGCTGCCCAGGCTGGGGGAGGCCGGTCAGCAGCTTTCAGGTCTCAGCCTCCGCCTCCCAGCCCGGGCAGCTCGAACCCCCACTCACCTGGCACGGAGAACAATGCTTGAGGCGAGGCCTCTGCTGAAGAGGCCAGAACCCGGCCCCACCAGTAGCAAACTGGGGCGTGGTCACCTGGGATAGAGTGCCAGTCAAACTTCTGGGAGACAGGGCTTCTCACTGACTCTTCACTTAGGACTCCACAGGCATCTTTCTTAAGCTGCCCCTTGGGAGATCCCATCCAGGTAACCAAAGCTTCCTGGGGCAAAGAAGGGTGAGGGACTTCTGCAGGCCATTGATCCATGGTCTCAATTCCCTCCCCACCTGGTCCAGTACCTCTCTGCCCAGTACAATGAGGGCCTCCTGGCCCCTGCTCTGAAACACCAGTACAAACCACCTGGGTGGATCAGCTTGGGACCCCAACCCTATACCCTTCTCAAGCCAGCTTTCCATGCCCTCTGCTGTGCCTCCTGGAGGCTGGCATCAGAAAGTCTGCTCTGGCACTCACAGTTCTGCCACCCTGGACCCTCTCGGTGGCGCGATGGGAGTAGTCCAGGCTGGGCCGCCCCAGGTAGACGTCCTGGCTGGGTGAGAAGCTGGAGAGCAAGTGCAGGGAGCTCCTGGGGTTCACATAATTGTCATGGTACGTGGCAAAACCACCTGTGGCGACGGAAGTCACTGGGCGCGAGGCCTGCTTTGGCTAAGACGGGAAATCCCCACCCAACGGCTCTGGGCTCTCCGTGGGTGGTCGAGGTGCCGCGTGCTTGCGCTTGAACTCGATGAACTTGTAAATTACTCCACGGACATCTTGCAGCAGAGGAGCCTGGCCCGATCCTTACCTTCGAACAGTTAGTGTGATGTGCAGCCACACCTGCGATCGGAGACAGAAACACGCGGTAGAGCTGGCACACAGGAGGAATCAGGATAAGGCCTGTGCCCACACTGAGGCCAGGACATCATGTGGCTGTCTGACATGCCTGGGACTCCTTGCCTGGGTCAGCCACAGCCCTAGCTCTGCACGGGCTGACCCTGCTGATACCCCCGGGGGCTGAAGCAAGGCGGCCATCAGTTAGGATCTCTGCAGAGGAAACAGGACGGAGGCGAAGCTCGTCTGACCTGGCCTGGAAGATGGATTCCTGCTGGGATTTCTTCGGGGGACGTGGCACCTTCACGCCGGGAAGCAGCCAGTGTGAGAGCAGAGCTTCCATGCGGGTGGGCCCTCCGCGAGCCCGTGTGACCTGGCAGCGCCAGCAGCCTCCCGGACCTCCGGAGCCTCGACAGAAGGGCACCCACAGCAGCGCAGTGGCCGCGGCTCAGGTCACCGGGAGCCCAGGTCACGGGCGCCAGGAGCCAGGGACCTCACCACCCTGGAGCTCGAGCTCAGGTCGACCCCCGTCAGGTGAGACAGATGTCTGGAAGAGAAACAATCTATGAGGCGTCGGGGGCGCTGCCCCCGGGCCGGGACCGACCCGCCCCGCGCAGAGCCTCCAGGGGAGCTCGGGCCGGAGCCTAGACCTGGGATCCGGGGAGGGTGGGCGTGGGGCTCGCCGTTGCGATCGAGGTCCAGCGCACCTGCCGGCAGGCCCGGGGAAAGTCAGGTGTGCAGCAGCAGTCGCAGGCGCGGCCCGTGGTTTCTTCCGGAGTGGTCGCCCGGCGGCTATGAAGACGTCGTGGGCTGGCCGCAGGCTGGGGGCAGCAGGCCAGGATTGAAAGGGCTGCGGGGCCGGGGCGGGAGTCCGGGCCGGGCCAGGCGCGCGGGGCAGCGGCAGCGGCAGCGGCAATGGCAACAGCGCGAACAGGGCCGCAGCCAGCGCAGAGGCAGGCCAACGCACAACGCCCCGCGCCTGTCATGCAGCCGCCAGGACCCCCAGCGCCAGGGAGAGAGAACTGGGCCGGGCAAGCTACCGTTGGGCGGCAGCCCCTTTAAAATGCAGCGGTCCTGCCCCGCCCCGCGCCCCGCGCCCAGGCGACGGCTCCGCGCTGCCCGGAGGTGGACAGCACGCCGCGGCGGTGGGTACAAAGATCACCGCTGCCAGTTTCGGGTGTTTTGCTTGCAGGTAACGAGCCAAGGCCGCGCCAGGCACCGCGCCCCGCGCCCCCGCCGCTGGGAGGCCGGGCTGAGTCGAGAGCAGGGCGCGGGGCCTGCGCCAGGGTCGGCAGGCGCGCTCCGTGCAGGTCTCCGCCGGGCAGCGCGTGAGGCTTTCTGGGACCGAGGCGCGTCCTCGCCGTGGCTGCTTGCGCAGTCGGGGAGCCGCCGGGCCGCGCCACCCGCCTCCCTCCCAGCGAGCTCACAGGAGAGGTTCCCAGCCGCCCCGACGCTAACTCTTTCTCCCTTCAGCAGCCAGCCAGCTCTGTGTCAGGGGTCAGGGTGCAGAAGAAAGTCAGGACAGAATGAGGGATAAGCTCAGCTGGCTCCAGCCTCCTCGTCAGTGACAGATCTGTGCTGCACCCCTCACAGCAGTAGGTCAGACCTCCTCCTGCCAAAGGTACAGCCAGGACAGCCTGAAGCGCCAGCCTGTCAGCCTGTGCGCTGCTCTACAGGGTGCAGCCGGGACAGGGTTACAGGCGAGGAGGAGGCAGGGCAGCCGCCCCTGCTGTGGCTGGGCTTTCTGCTCTGCCGGCCGAGGACAGGGACGCAGTGCCAAGCGCGCAGGAGGAGGGTGCCCAGTGGGCCTGCGGAGGCCGAGCTCTTGAGTGCTTTTCCCAAAGGAGCGCAGGAGGCCACAGGTCAGCGGGTGCCCCGGCATGGCGGCTTCCAGCCTGCTTTAAGCCGAGGTCCTGGCTCCTCTGTATCTCCCAGCTGGGGGCCGTGGGAGCTCCTAGGATGACTCTTTTCTCCTTCTCCCAACCCTGTAAGCATGATTCTCAGCCCAGTATTGCTGCTCCGGACAGATTCCGGGGGCTGGACCTCCTGCCTCCTGGGGGTTGAGGTGGCAATCATTCTTCTCCGTGGCTTGGAAACTGCATCAGGATGGTGGCTGGGGGCATTAGGGGCCCTCGGTCCCTGTAGTTAATTTGTCCTGTCTGCTTTCTGGCCTGAGACTGAGCAGCTGGGAATCAGGCGAGGGTTTCTGCTTCTGAGCCTTGGGGAGTCTTGTGAGGGCTCCTCCCTGATGTGGTGGCACAGGAGCCTGGCTAGAAACTGAGGTGACTGGGAGGCACGCCTGGAGGACAGCAGCGGGCGGGAGTGTAGTCCGATTGGCCTGGAAGATCTCGGGCGGAGCTGACCTCAGAGAAGAGTCTGGTCTCGCCCTCCTGGGGCAGTCCCCAGGACAAGTGCCGGAGTGCCTGGCCATGTTGCAGGGCTGTGGAGCCCATGCAGATCGTGGACCCCCAGGAAGACCCCGCAGAATGCACCCGACGTCAGCTACGTGGTGGAGACCCCAGCCTGATCGGAGCCCAGTGGGAGACCTTGAGTGTCTCAGTTCTGCTAGAGTCCAGAGAGCCAGACTCCTCACTGCAGCCTGCACAGCAGGCCAGAATGATCCTTCTCAGTGATCTCTGTTCTCTTTTCCTGATCTGAAAACCGTCAAGGATTTCAGTTGCTCGCTCATGTGAGGCTTGTAGCGGCAGACACTGCTGATGAAGGCCAGGAGACGGAGTCCTCCCCGCTCAGCCTAGCGACCAGCAGTCAATGTCCATTCCCCGAAACCCCCAATTTTGACCTCCCCCAGAGTTCCTACCGCAGGCCCACAGGAGTCTGCAGGGCCTGGACCAGCAGTCAGTCTAGCACCCCATGCAGTTCCTGTGCCAGGCGCGGTGACATTCTGGCTAGGACAGTCAGGCCTCAACTCCTGACCCTCAGGGCCTGGGGCCAGGATCCCGCCTCACACCCTGCCCTGACCTGCGTGTGCACCGCTCCCAGGATCGAACGAT